GAAATCACGACATCACACTCCAATTGGTTCCTGACACGGTATATTTATCGACCCACTCCTTCACTATCTCTTTTACATATCATATCGCATCCTTCCGCGCACCAACATCAGCTCATATTCAAGACCCGCCGAGGAAAAGGCGCTCACCTCTTGCTTTCACGTGCAGAATGCACCACCGGTCGTGGCTTGACAGCAAGTGGGGCAGGCACAGCCTGCAACGTACACGAACTGGTCGTCCGATGCACATTCATAAATGAACGCATTCCCGCCATTAACACCCGCATCCTGTGAGCACCCATAACCACCTGCAAGCAACCGTAAGTACACCGTTAAATATCCCCACATCCCAGAAACATATCGTTATGTGGCAAGAGCACTTACCTGGGGTGTCGCAAGACTGGCCGATAGGGTTGTACGCGGTGGCTACGCCAGCCATTACCGCAACAGACACGATCATAGAAGTGAGTGAGATGAATTTCATGTTTGTAGTGAGGAGAATGCTAAGGCTCGATAATTTATCTTCTGTTGAGTTGAGTGGAAAGCTACGCTCTCCTCTCGCCTTTTATACTACAACCATAGCATGCCCCAGACAACGATCCATCCATCCATCTCATATCCGACGTGGGACAGGTTACCTTGCACGGCATCCCCATCAAATTTGTAATACTCCACCTGCAGATGGACGCAACGTTCGACGGCCTAGGTGCATACGGGGCTATAGTATTGATCTCAAAATTTTATGCATCCCCCCACATGACCTATCCGAGGCGATGGACGCGGAGGGATCATGTATCAAGGCAGTGGTCTTGTGTCACGATCACAATGTCATGATGATACCTGTTCTTTCGTTTGACGAATTGTTGACTATTTCAAACTCTAGATCGCGACGCTGAAAAGTCGTCTGATGAACGTCAAAAACATATCGGAGTGCTTGCCTCGAATTCGGAATATGAGAAATGTTTTTTTGACTCTCGACACTCCGTCGATACATAGGCTGACTGTTCCGTTATATCGAGCAGATTTTACTCTATCAAATTGACGTCTGCGATTCAGCCAAGTCGTCTGATATGATGAACCACCCGCCAAGCTGTGCCACAACGCGTCCTGTGGTGCTGCGACCGGATATCATGCTAAAAACCGTTCGGGAGACGGATGATATTACAGACGATCGGAAATTCTCAACAATTGAGTCTCACTTGGACGTACTGCGCAGACGTGGCACTGGGATCTTTGAAACTGATCGAGTGATCCGATCATCATGTGCCGAGGCTTGTCCGTAGCACGGAGGGGCATGATATATTTTCATCCTAGTGAGGCGGTTCAGTAGCTTCAGCTATCTTGTGTTCGATTACTAACGACTATAGTATCATCATAATCGTGCTTTGGATTAGTTTTCGTTCTGCTTATCAGAAATCTCCACCCCCATGACTGGGAATTAGTGTCGGCAGAAGTTTTTGCTAACTTCCAGTGTTCCATCTCTACTGATGCAGTGCTGACGATATATTACCAGGTCGCTTTCCAACAGACTGGAGCGTACGAACAGCCTTGAGTCGTAATCAAATATGTAGTACAAGTTGGTTGCTGATTGTAACCGTCCAGCAGCCGAGTTCCGATACAGGCCACCGTTCTAGGGCCAAAAGTTTTTCCTCTTCGATGTTTGTGGGGGATATCGTGCTCTACATAGTGTCCAATTAAGCTCATATCCAGCCCCACCATCGATTACACGAAGCGCGTCTTAAATTAAGCGTTTATGCCAACCACACAGTAGTATCATTTATGGACCATTGTGAGCTATCGCCGAGGCACTCATCTTGTTTTACGGAGAGGAGATCGCGTAGCCGGATGACACCAAAACACAAGCGAAAGCACGCTGGTGGAATGAGAGGACACTAAGCTTGGTAAGTTGGTATTTCAATTTCGCGACTAGTCACTCTCTGCACAGTGCGGAGTCTCCTGCGTAATACTCCAAGCAAAGTACTGGCACAGTCTCTGAGAAAGCGGAGCGAACTGTTGGCAAGGATGGACTTGAGCTCAGCAGAAAAGGTGCATTCACTTCATTGGTTCAACGTTTGCGGTTGGCTGTTGATGAGGCAGGTGGCGCTGAAAACAAGACGCAAACCGAAGCAAACAGCTATAAGCTATGCGCAACACTATATATACAGTATAGGACCGGCATTTGAGCCAGCACCGTCATTTGAGCCAAACAGCTACCACACAATCAATGTTCGTTTATCAACCTATCGGATAGTGCAGATGTATTGGTAATACATGTATCTTGTATACTGTCGAGTAGAAATGAAAAAAAAAACATAATGCATGCATGCTACAGGTCAGAAACATGCCCTCTCTCAGCACCAATCAATGCAGTGAGAAGGAATCATTCAATTATCAATGTCAAAAAGGCTGCCAAATGAAAGATTTATATCCGTAGTATAGTTTCGGTACAATAAAATATGTCTAACATACAACAATGTGCTGCCACTGGGATGCCGGACGAGGGTCTCAAAATCTGTTATCAAAGTGTTTATCGGAACAAGATAGCGAAACTAACCCAATTTGGAATTTTATTTCTGGACTCAAAAACACCATCCTGCAGTATCCAGGCTCGTATTTTTGCACATCTCAATCATGGTTGGACGTCCAAAGTCAGTCACAAGGAAAAACCAACTTGCTAAGAGCTTGATGTCGACGAGAATGAGCGCGAGAATGCCAGTGATGAGGATGAAGAGGAGTAGCTGGCTAAGGATTGTTACGATAATCGCTTAGATGATAAACTCGCACTCTATAAATCCATATAAGGGCTGGCTCAAGTGGTGAAAAAATTAGATATCAAGACATTCTACTGATTCACGCACTGTGCACGCATCTCTCATTCGATTGCTCTGTAGCGTTGCATTAGCATGGTCGTCATACATCTAAACATGACTGCCAAATCAAAATTTTAATTTATGTACGAGTGTTCACTTGAGACAATCAACAAAATTTACTGGCTCAAATGCCGGTCCTATACTGTATAACTTCTTCATTGCGATTGACAATTCGTTTTCAGCCAAGGCCCACGGGTAGTACAATTGCTCATGATAGGATAGTCGAAATCGTTCTAAACCAGGAATCTGAGCAAAATGGGGGGATATGATTATACGAGGAATCGAGGATCATGAGTATTTCAATCTCGGCGGCTGGTAGTGTATGATATAGTCAGCGAGGTTTCTTTGCATGTAGTACGAGCTGTCAGTGACGTGCTGTCAAAATGTATTTGGGGCCTCCGAGCATTGAGCTGGAGGTTCCGGCTTGCCCTAAACTCCATCTATACGAGCGCCGGTCGCCAGTGCGAGTTGATTCAACTACAAACATACCTACTCTGCACGAGAAATCATGAATTCAACTAAATGCTGGAAAATATGGTTTCGGAGAAACTTGTTGAATACTGCTTCGTTGTTCTTTGGAATCATTGGACCTGTACGGTGTCTCATGTTGTTCGTGAATCACTTTTAAGCGACGCATGACAACTTTGAAGTTCCGTTCATGTGATTGCGTTGGACATATCTCGTCTGCCCTTGCCAGATAGCTAGTTTTTTTCTTGTAGCATGCCAAGGCATCCTCTATGAGCCATCCATCGAGCGGTCTGCCCCACCTCAGGAGCTTGCCATTTTCATATCGAAGACAGATCCAAGTGAGGACACAGATGAACGATTCAGCGTCATGATAGTACAGGTGCTCGACTTGACCTGTGATGGCGTTATGCGTGAAAAGTTTGAGCGACATGAAGGGTACCGTCCCTGTGCGCTCGAAGCCTCTGGGAGCTTCTTTAATCGGAGGCAAAAATCGTTTGATCGACGACAAGTCGAAATCGTTGATAACGCTCAAAAACTGACCATGTAAGCGGTATCCCATGAGATTGCTGGGGTTGATGTCGCCGTGACGTATGCCCTTCTCCCAGAGGGTAGGGTGGTCCGTAGTAGTGAATAGACGACATAGAGCATGAGAAGGCAGGAACACCTACACACCACAGCTTTCCACCACGCAACAAGGAACTCGTTCCCGGTCAGCGTCGTGATTGGGAGAAACTTGCTAGATGTGATGATCAAGACACATCTACGCCGTTCAGCTTCTGTAAGTCCTACTGCTCTTCTAATTTCCGTCGTAGATGTGCCTTTGAACTCGTGGATCCAGAAAATATTTCTACAGTGGCCCTCCACTTCTGTGCCCTTGTTGGGAAGGCACTTGGGCAGAGTGTTGATACATTTGCTGTGCGGGGCGGACTTGTCAATGAGCTCGGCAGAGAATGCAGAGTTACGGAGAGGGGTCTTTGGTGCATTGGTGCCAACATAATTGGCCATGAAGTTATATACGGAACAAAAAATGAACCAACTTGAGCCGTCTCAGCACTGGCAAAATATGAGAACGTCTAGGAAATCGCCACTCTGGAACCAATCGATGTAAAAGCGAGAAAAATAAGGACTACGAGATTCTACAGTACTATCCCTTACGCTCTATTCGTGACGGTCCACAATTTCGTGAGTCACAGGTCACGAATAGTAACGGACAGTCACACTGGCCGAATCTACAGTCCGCTCGGCAGACGTTAGAATCTTCGTGATTCGTGATTCGGGATTCGTGAACTTCAACAGTGATTGATTAGGACGCTACTTATAAGTCTGTGAGCTACAGTATGTACCGAAAAATTATATAGAACTAAATGCAATCATTAATGATGTGTAAAATATTGCTGAGGGAATGTATGTGGATGTGGGTATTGATGCATACTAGTAGATGGATTATGAAGTCCGTGACTCGGACTCGGATGCGCGGGTTGAGCAAAAAAATATGGTGGATGTGGTGCAGGGACACTGAAACCAGTGTAAAAAGACGGATGTGTGGAATGTGGTGGTGGCAACACTGGCAAGTGCCCAGGCTGGAAGGAACTGGGGGTTGTGGAAAGTTCTGGCGGCAAATTCTGTTGTCGCCTCGAAGTTGAAGCTGCCGACACTGTGGCAGCGCTCGTTCGTTTGCCACCGAGAAGTCCCGCGAACCTTGGTTGACTGGCACAGTCAGGATTTTCTGCAAGATGTTCTTTGATTCATGCAGTCAGTTCAATCATTGTCCCGTCCCTGGATAGTGAAAGAGCGCCGGCAATGGTGACGAGGTCGTCCTTGCGCTTGTATGATGATAGTGAGCCGTCAAATACCTTCGTTTTGATGTCTTCCTCAATGCGCGAGAGCCGAACATCATTTTCGGCTTTTTTCTGGGCAGCTTTCTCTGCCTCAACCTTTTCCTTCTCAATGCGCTCGATTTCTTCAGCCTCGAATGCTTCTCTGAGCTCTGGGTGCGTGACGAAACGGGCGTTAATTTTCTTCGACTTCTGACGCTTCTTCTGGGTCTTATTCGCCAGCCGTTGGTTCAGCATCGTCCTTGACAGCTTCCTCTTCCGATGGCTGGAGGAGTTGCTGTGACTTGGCAAAATCCCTGCGAGACATATGTAGACCCTTGCTCCGGTCGTTAAGAGTCTGCCGTGCGACCTGTACAATAAAATTAGCACTGCAGGAACTCGAAAAATACACAATCATACCTTTTGTGCCCTTGCAGCTACTGTAATATTCTTGTAAGTGCCATTTGTGACACCCATGAGTGCAGCCTGGATCCTGGACTCGTACTCGGGGTCAGTAGACGCTGCCAGCTTGCCTCGGTGACGTCCCATGGCATAGCGATTGAGCCCAGCTCAGCGCTCACGGATTGCAGCTGCAATGAAACACGCTGTTAAATTCAATGTCCGACGTCGGCAGCCTCGGCAGGTGACACTGAAATCGTGATTTTGGCTGCTGTCACGCTGAAAACATGATCTCCACCATTTCTCAACAGATTTGTTTCGTTCCACTTGGAATATGCTAGTATATAGTATATAGAATATACTGAGTGAAGTAGCTAAGTAATTACATTGAAGTTGAGTGCTGCAGACAAAAATCACGAAATTGTGGACCGTCACGAATAGAGCGTAAGGGATAGTAGGAGGTAAGCAAAATGAGCGCAGTTTCAATTATTCGGTTCTTTCCGTAGTGTAGTCCGAAACTACTCTTCCACCCTTATATCCAGACTAGCTTATTAGCCAAACCCTGATCCATCATTCAGCTTAGCTATCCACTGTGGTACTGATGGCTTATTTTTGAATGGATCGCTAGACAGTGGCATAGTGGATAGCTAAACTGAATGTCAATGGTTTTTGGCTATTTGGATACCAATATGACCCTGACAGTATGGGCTGCGCAAAGATACTATCTCTTGATTCTCTTCATCTCGGGGGTTGGAACCAATAGGCGCGCCTAGCGTCTCAGCGCACAAATCTCACAGTCAGTCCTACTCTCGCTCAGGCTGTCGAAGTCTACCTCACGATTAGCACAGCTGGCTGCATTAGATGAGGCTCGCCGGCTCTACCACCACTAGACAATCGGAACGCTGTCGACTCGTTTATTTGACAGAGAGAAATTAAGTAGAAATCCGGGCCTGCTGATTGGAAGTGGAGCATGCTAAAATTATAAGGCAGTATCATCGCTAACCAAATAGTCTACTAGTCATTGTATCAACGAGTTCCGCGTACTTAGACGAGGTATCCTTTTTATAGCCCGACTCAGTGGTTGAATGTGACAATGTTGACAATACAGGGATGATGACTTGGGGAAGACAGTTGTTTGTTCCGAACGCCCCAAAAGTAAACAACATTGGTGAGAGAACTCATGCGCCGGTCGTAAAGTCATAAGATCGTCCACATGTCAATCCAGCTTGACGTCGCGTGTTACCGACACTGTTGCTCTAGTAAGCTGGTGTGGGGTCAGACCAGTCAAGCTTTCAAGCTAAGGTCGAGGAGGTAATCTAGGAGCCAGGCAGTAAGCTTGGTCTCATGCCTAGCTGCTGTATCTCAACGTACCACTACCACTTATCGAAGGAAAATAATAAATGTGCTTCGAAGATAACACTGCATGTAGTCGTAGGAATACTACACAATGGGACCAAAGCGCGAAGCGCTCTCCCGCGCACAAATCGAAACACCGAACTACGTAAACATATCCTCCTCGCTCACATCCCGCATCCCACACGCCGCCCACGTAACAGCAGCATTCAGATCTTCCACGCCATCATTCCTCGTGCCAACAACCCCATTCACCTCATATACCGACTTCGTGATACCAAGCGTCACTTTAATAGCCGGAGGCCCGGGCGCATACTCCTCGAGTTCCGAATCTAATTTGTCCCTAGCTGCAGTGCCAACTTTCTCATCTCGAGAGATGAGGCGTAAGATGTTCCGTGCGGCAACCTCCGCTTGATAATATGCTGTATGTCCAGCTTTGATCGCGTCGAACGCGTCTGCCGCATCGCCCACGACGAAGATGTATGGGTACAAAGTCTGTTGAGATGAGTAGGGCTCGACCAGGGTGGCCGTGGATGACACGGGTGACGTTGAAGGTATGTCAGCATATGCGATGGATGGCGACAATCGCCATAATTCTGACTGTTCTATCCCTTCTTCCGTATCAGGAGTTAAGTCCATCAACCAATGCAGTACATCATTTTCCCGAAACTTGTGGGGCTCAAAAGAAGGTGGTGGGACGTAAAGCTGCATAGTCCGCAGAACATGTGCCAGTCCAGTGTCTGGGGATACAGCACGGGGGTCCATATCACGAAGGAGCCCTGTATTCGGTGCTTGGCCAGTGCATAGGAGCTAATGACGTGCTCATTTAGCTTAGTGTCGCTCTTCAATCTGAAAAGACCTACCAGAAGGTCGGCGGATATCTCCCGCCCTGATACAGTCCGTACTACACGTGGCTCTGAAGAGCCTTGATCAGTGGATTTGTGTTGGAGTGACTCGAAATCCAGTCGCTCTCCAAGAATAACACATATGTTTAGCTCCTGCAAACCCTGAAGGGCTGAATCATCACTTAGTTGAAATCACTTAATAGAAGACACGCAAAACTAACCTTTTTCGTGCACTGCGTGGTCAAACTTTGGCAATAAACGATGACGGGACTGTAGAAGCGTGACGCGCTTTTGTGGGTATACAGCAGCGATGTCAGATGCGAACTCTATATATGACCATAAAATGCGTCTTCCACGGCATAACGACATGACTTACGAATACCAAGCGCGCCGCCACCTACGACCAACACGGACCTGGCAGCCTCGACACGTTTCTGGCGTTCTCGGAGGGATGAGATACCCTCCAACTTCGTTCCTCCGTACAGTGGAATTTCTAGTGGTTCCAAAGTCGATTTAACTCCACCTTTTTGGTGATTCCAAAGGTCTATTGGCTGGGGTAAGTGGGAGCCGAGAGCATAAATGGCATAGTCAAAGTCTAAGTAAGATTGTTGTGACCCTGGCAGATTCGGAGAGAGGATGATGCGATGATTATCTATGGAGGTGATAGTTGCCTGCACGCGAACATGAGATGAACATGAAGAAACATCTGAAAGAGAACAAGAAGGGAAGTTATTGTATGGAATAACTAATAGGAGGACCATTGGTATCAGAGTAGAGCAATGCGGACTGAGTGCACACTTACATGCTTTGTGTTCGTGACCGGCAAGAACAGCATATCTAGAAAAGTTGTAAACATCTAAAAACACAAAATGAATCTTCTTCCAAGCCCGGAAGCAGCAAAGTTCTCACGATTCCTATGTCTTGACAGGCATCAGAAGTTAATGGAATACATTCACTGAAGGCAACGCACGAATTTCTATCTACCAAAACAATTCTCCAGCCCTGCGGGATACCCTGTGCAAGAACTTGAGCAGCTCTTGAGCCTAGAGAGTGATCAGAGGGTCAGTAATTTCAACGCTACTCGTGTTGAACACACCTCCGTAGGAACCGCCCAGGATGACGACCGTCTTTGTAGGGAATGGCGTCGAAGACATATCGGACACCTCTGTTGCAACGGACATGATGCAGGGCTCGGAAGGAAAACAGCTCCAAGTTACCACTTGACAGGCCTTGTATATGTATTATATTGGGTGGGGATCCTTTTGAAAGCCCGGACTATATATTGCGAAGTCGGGACTCACACATCAACGAACCCGTGAACAGACTATAATGTCATATACGATCATTTCCATGTATCTGATGGGGGAGTTTACTTTGCCTTATGAAGGAAAGATGATTTTTAAGTCAACCAGCCACGCTGTCTTACCTTTAGGGAACTGTACGGGTAAAACCCCGGTACCGTGGGCCATACCTGCACGCACGCCCGCTTCAATGGGTATGGGGGTTTTGCTAGGTATGATGCGCTCGTACCCTTATCCGCGAGTATTACATACAGAGGTTATTAGATTAACCATTATAAAAATATAAGATATAGACCGTGAACGAAAACTCACCGAGATTCCAACATCAAGAGGTAAGTGACAGACGCGAGCATGGACGAATGCTCAGATGTGCAAATGGATGCAAATAAATAAGATGATTTATCATAAAAAGCAAGGAGACGGCAATCACACCTATGTGTGTGATCCGTGTGTAAGACTTCAAAACATCATATTATCATTGTCGTCAAGAATGTTCGACGTGCCAAACCAATTGCAACGCGATGATGCTGGGAAGTCATGTGGGAGAGGTAGTAGTTGGCTGTAGGGTTGCAGGCCAGCCTATCTGCAAGCCGAAGGAATGATGAACCGCTTCGTTCGAGAATGGCAAGCATTCTATAATCATCAATTAAATTAAATTTGATACTCCAGGCCGTCAAAGAAAACCACGTATGTTCTTGACACGTAAGAGCACTCCGAGTCATTCCTGGAATATCCAGCTGGTATCGACATTGTCAAGCTGTAGTGACCGAAACGTGAGATCTTCTTCTACACCATCGCCATCGACTTCGACATCCAATTGAATGCCCCTCCTTAACTCATACTTGTTCCAGTACATGCACGCATGTTGTAGTGGTGACGTGAGGCAGACAGGAATCGAGGAGAACAAGTCATGGATGTGCCCAGATCGCGGATTCGTGCGGTTCTGTTGTACTTCGAGGGAAATGTAGCAACTGTACTGGTCCATCATTCTGCTGACGTTATGTAGCAAGAGTAATTTGCAAAACTGTGCGCCGTTGGCACATTCGACCGAGTTATTATAGAAAGCACCAAAAATAGTAATTGGACTTGCACTCACATGACGTCAGCGAGCTCAAATTTCTCAATCAAGTCGCACCGTCAGCAATCACTGGGGAAACGAGAAAATGACCAGAGCCTTAAGCTGTCTGCCTACCGTACTTACTAGTATGGTCTTACGTCGCAAATGTTGTTGTTTATTATTTGATTTCCTAATACGGCGAGTATAGTTTATGCTGCTACTAGTACATACGGCCCCCGTAAGCAAAGTGTGCCTCTCGTGTAAAACCATCAAGACCCACGAACACTCGGGTACTAATCTAGTATCACATTATTCACATCTAACACACTTCAAGTTGGTCTTGTACTAGCTATTTGTTTCTCGATGATGATGGCTAAACTACTGCAGTGGGCTCTAGTACGTGCACTGGACTCAACATACGACCCAGAGGCTCTAGCAGCCACTGCTCCACGAGACTCTAACTCTAACCCCAGTGCGGCTACTAAGTCCGCTCCAAACGCTGCCGAACCCTTCTGCCCCTGGCCTCATCCCTAGTAGCGGTCCTCCACTCCACTATCAATACGGGTTTTTCACTGAAAGATCGAATCTACAACTGGTTTTACCTTCAAATTGGCAGTTTCATTC